TTTTTATCAGGGCTACATGAATATTTATGATTATATAATGTTTCAGCTAGATATAAAAATTACGCTTCTGCTATATTGTTTTATATTTGTATTTTCTCTTCACTCATTATTTATTTTAAATCACAACAAAAAAGGGCTTGTAACAACTGCCACAACTGAATTCATTTAAAATCGCATACATAATGCGCGTATCAGCAAATTTATGTAATCGAAATAATTTGTGTTTTGTAATATAAAACGTAATAACATGAACAGTTTTTTTTTTCTGTACAATCGGTTTACAAATATTTCCAACAACTCAGTTTTATAATGATGAATGAATTTGTACATATAAAATTGTATAAATTGTAAATTAATTTCTCTCTTTAAAAAATGTACTAATAAAAACTTTATGCTATAAATTATATAATATATTTTTAGTTACATTTTTTATTAGATTATCGATCGAAATAAAATTAGAATTTCCTATATTAAATTAAAATAATATATGAATACAAATGTATACAAAGAATTATGGAAATTTAAACTAATGCTTCAATTAGTGCGGATTCACTGTTAACTTAAATTCCACTATTAACTTAAAATATGATTATGTAAAAAATTGTAAAGAATAATTTTATTTTGTCAGTTTCTGACATTACCTTGACTTTGTTTAATTGATTCTGAAATATATAAAGTAATGCTTCGATCACTGTGGATTAACTATAGTCCGTTTTAAAAATTTCAAAATAAATTAAAGTCCTCGATTAGTGCGGTTTTATGCGAACTACACGAGATATTGCTATATTTGTAATGAAGGAATATTAGCTAGTATTAGAAGTAGCAAATAGATAGGTCAATTACAAACTAGGTCTCGATTTAAAATTTATTACGTTCGGAACTAAAAGAAGATCACTTAAAATGTTCCATAAAACTTAAGTGTAGTTTGAAAATAAAATTGAAAGAATAAATAATACGTATGTGATATCGACCGTTGAGTTCTCCTCGTTATCCTTTTTTTTTGTGCGTGTTGAATTGCCCGCACATGAATTATTAGGTTCGGTTAATGCTATCCACAAAACCACGAAGATTACTCGGATGCTGCGCGGTTTTTATGGTGCTCGCGTTACATAACGGAGGCAGCAACTGATGACGACGATGATCATTGCATTTTGAATATGTCTACATCTAAATTACCTAACTTATTGCTGTTTTCTTAACTCATTAGCACATACCACACTCATTTTAGTACATCTATTTAAATGCATATATTTAGTTACTTTACAGAAGAAAATTTCAACTACTAAAGTAAAATATTTATAAATTATATTAAAAAACAAAGGGTTAATAATAAAAATAGGCAGAAAGCCAATAGCCCTTTGAATCAGTTGACTTTTTTGAAATTATATAAATTTATTTTATAACTCTTGTTAAATAATAAATTTGATTGTTAAAATAATAAGAATATTTATATGCAATACTTAGAGACAACAGATATATGAAATAAAAATTTGTGACAAAATTTTTTTTTGTCCCTCATTAATTTTATTATATATTTTGAAAGGGATAAAAAAATATTAAATAATAATAGTAATAAGATAAAATTTAAAAGAAATTGCTGAAAAAAAAGTATAAAAGAATATATATTTCCACTATCTAAAATGTAATAATATGAGAATTAACGAAATTTTCTTTTTGTTATGGAAAATTGTTCTTGTTCCGTTTTTATTTATAATTTATAATTAAGATTACTTTTATTAAATTTTATAATATTCATTTTTATTTTATTTTTTGTTGCTAGAAAAAAACTTTATATAAAATATATAAAAACGATGGTAAAACGAAAAGAATAACATTTGCAGACAAATTTATAATCAAAAGGTAAAATGTTTATTTGTGAAACATGAATATTTATTACTATAAAATTGCAACTCGTTATATAAAAATAAAAAATAAAACGCTTGTTATTTTATACATTTTTTTTATTCATTCATTTATATTTAAATACAAAAATGTTTGTAACGTTTGCCACAACTGAATTCATTTAAAAGCGTATAAATAACGCACATACTCACAATTTATTTAATCTAAATAATGTGTTTGTTGTAAAATTTAAAAATAAAATAAAATTATACATACATATTTTCATGGAGTTTCGAATATTCCCAATAATTAAGTTGTATTTGTAATTTATATATAAATAAAAAATTGTATAATAAAATGTAATATTGTATAGTTTCTTTGAAATGAAAATGAACTGGTTTGTTACCAATATCAAAGATTTAATAAAACGGAAATATCTACAAATTTGATGTTATTGTATTGTAACATTAGAGCTTTATCTTTAATTTGCATATTCCATATTCTAATTATTGTGTAAGATTATCAAGTAATTAGATAAAATGTTACTGCTTGGATGATCTTATTATGTAAATATCAGGCAATTACATAAAGTATGAAAATATGTAAAAAATCGAAATTGTCGGTTTAAAAATGTTATTAATTTTCCTGACTTTTTATAATCCATAAAAATGACCGACATTCATAAAAAAATCGCATAATTTTGTATGTATTTTAAGAAATTGAAAATATTTTAATTTTTTTAGGAAATTGTATATGAAAGTATCTAAATTATAATTTTTCGTACTTTTAATAGTTAATGTTTTCAGTAAAAAAAATAACTAATTTAATATGATTCGTATTTGCCAAATTGGGTAAATTATATAAGTATAAAACAACAAAAACATCTAATTTTTGCAAATCTGAATAGAATTCATATCTATTTACAATGCTCCTGTCTTATTCTACCATCTCCTTGTCCCAGCAACAAATTTAGCGGAAAGTATGCTAATGAATGTACCGGAAAAACTTCGGCACATTCGAGAATCGCGGAGGAGGAATACAAAAATCCGCGGTTCACAAATGTATTCGGAATAATGAAGAAGAAGAAGATCGCAGAAACTTAGAACAGCATTAAGCGAATCGATGGACGTCTTCTCCGCCGTCGCCGCCTTCTCCGATGTGAAATGGAAAATGTAAATTGAAACTGATTTAAATGTATGTATAAATATTGAACAGAAGGGGGTTGGAGATGTGCACAGAGAGAGAAGCGTCGCGACGTCTTCGAAGTCGTACTCAAACAACAAACAGCATTCAAGCAATTATGCAAGAACAGGCAACTTAATTACACGGCGATCAGCGGCGGCGGCGGAGCGCGATTACGCAACCACGGAGGGGTGGGATTATTTATTTTTTTCTACCGCCCGACTGTTGTTCTTGCTGTTTGTTTTTGTTATTGTTTGGGCGTTTGAGGGAACACCGAAATGGAAATCCGGAGGGTTGCAACAGTAGGAAGCAAAAGGGGTGGTGGTGAAAAAAAGGATAGATGCGCAGGATGTGAATGAAAACAGTTTCAGCAACAACACCTAGCAAACAGAAACGGCGGCGCCGCTTATGTAAATTAACTTCCTAATCAATATGGGGGATGATTTCGGTTTTGTGTCTGCCTTTGTCGCTATTACCATTACTACATTCTGTGAGAGTTTGTTTTTTTTGTCGTTTCGTTTTCGCTTTTGAGACAATTCCGGCTAATGGACGGTAATCCGACTGCAGTACACCTGTGCCTCTACGATGTGATCTTCGCCACAAATCAATATACGTTCTTTGCTAAAATTGCATCCCCCTTCGATACATTGAAGTCTACGAACGTTCGTAAACCTTCAAACAGAATGATGTTTTAAAGCGATATTACTATATCAATAATGTAAGAAAAACTGAAACTACAGGCAATGACATCAAAGTCCTTGTACCAAAGTTTTTCATATATGTTGCTTACAAAAAAAACTAAATTATACCTCAAGTTAAGTTAGGATAAGTAAAGTTAAAAAAAGAACTCAACTTTTACTGTCATAAAATTTAAATTTCTTTAAATTCTTATTAAGTATAAACTAAAGACATAAAGTGTATTAAGTTTCTAATTATTCTATTGATAACAAAGACAAGATACTATTGAAAATTGGATAATTAAAAATCTTAAAACAAATTATCCAATAAATATGTAAATTTAGTTTTTCTTTGAAATTAACGAAGCAGTTGATTACAAATTTATTCACGTAACTCGATTTTGCATATAAGACTTTCAAATTGTGTTTCTTCATCAAAATCATCGTATTTTCATTGAATAATTAACCATTCAGAACTTACTCAATATGTATTTAAGTAATATACATTCATTGTTTTTGTTCAAAATTTTATGTTTCAATTATTTATTTATGTTATTTCACTATAGATTTTTTTTATATAAAATTAGCACAAGTTTATTTTGTATATTAACTAAAGTGATAAAGTGTAATCAATGTGCAGAAAAATAATTTATAAATCATTTAATTGTTTTCTTATACAATCTTTTTAAGATTATATCATTATAGATAGCATTGTTCTAGAAATTAGTTTTCATCTTTTTTGTATTTTGTTCTGATAAAACGGAATATTGTACCGAAAAAGCGGAGTAAATTTGTGTTATTTCCTTTGTTCTGTTTCTAAGCGGAATCGACTGTTGTTATTAGCAAATTATTGCTTGATTACTTGATTAACAGTGCAAATATAGCTACGGGTTGTTTTTGTTGTGTAAGAGTAATAACATGATACGGGAATAATCAAATGAGACCCGAATCCATACGGAATAATTCATGATCAGTGGTACATCCATGTCTTTAGCAGATTTTGAGCTAAAACGCTTTGGTGGCGCACTGCAGTGAAGAATGTTTATGTAATTTTAATTACAGCCGCTGCAATCCGACCTGTATTATGCGGCTGTTTGCATTTTACGTAATTGATTGATGCACGGATATATTGATATGAAGATGACATGTAAATTTACCTTTTGTCGCTAATGAATAAACAGTAACCAATGTGGAACTGAGCGGAGCCCCGTGGGGATGTGCGGGATTATATTAATCTGACGATGGGCGAGGAACTATGGGGGCGTTTGTGTGCAACCCCGGAAGATCAAATAAACACGGTTCGGCGATCAAATATTTATTGTCTCTATTACAGTTCAAAATCTGTAGAACAGGTTGAGGAACAGCTGGACTTGAGAGTACATCTGGCTGATGGAATTGATGGTGAAGAGAAATAGCTTCGCTATGTGGACAACGACGGGAGTCATCTGTACGAAGACCGCGACCTTATGAAAGAGCTGAAGACTTTGGACTTTTTTTTTGGATCCTGATCCTCGTACTTCTCGTAGGCCTCGGCAAGAGTCTGCAGAAGAGGACCAAGGTACTCGGTACTCCTTTCGAATCTGAGGAACGAATTACAGGTGGCAATAAGCTTCTATCCTAGTTACAACCGCAAGCAGATTATTATACTATACCTATTCCGAACGAAGGAAATTGCAGCATTTTCCGTAACGGAGAGATCCTTGGAATCTTGGTTAGTAATTCCGTTAAGCAGTTGAACTTCCGCAGCGGCGGTTGCAAACGCGCAGAACAACAATGCCACCACCAAACTCCTTAATGACAACGACATTCTGAAAGCGATATCAAACCATTACTACTCGACATCATTACCATTTCCACTTTATCATTTTGTATAAATGTACACAAAACCACACAAATAAAATTAAAAAAAAACACAAAGATCAAAATACTGTATTTACCTGTTAACTTGTCTCTAGACTCGACTGCACACCAACTATTCCCAACATCTATTCTGGACCGCCTTATATCGCCTCTCCCCCGCCACATCCTTCCTAATATTTTACCTGCAAATTACACAAAAGGAATCAATTCCAGGAACACATCTGTTCCCCGCAAATGGGAGGAGAGCAAACTCACAAACTCATCAATTTTATTATAAGCACCATCGTCCAGCTCGTTGATGCTTTCCAAGCGTATCCAGTTCTTCAGCCCTCTGAACGGATCTTTTGTTTGCACGTCGATGTCCTCTTCGACATTCGGTAATTTCAATCTATAAAAGAATCATACAGAAGCTACATACATAACCAACTACAACACATAAAACCGTAGTGTACTGTCACTTAAACATTTCAGTGCTTCCATTAAGGATTGGCGCCTCTACAAATGTTATATGCTACATCCTGTCTTAACGATCGCAGCTTTAAAAATAAACGCAATTCATAATAGACAAAACATCAATTTAAACACAAACATAAAATATATACGTAACGTTTCATATATATTTTTTTATTATTCACAAAATTCGTAATTGAAATCATAAAATAAATATTTTACAAACATTATTTTATATACAAATCATACATATATTTTTTTTGTACTTGCAAAATTTTATTACAAAATATTGAATATTGAAAAATAGAAGTAATTACATTGTAATAACTTTATTTAACCAAAATCCAGTACTATTTTTTAATAAAATTGTAATTATTCCATCAATATTTTTCAAATAAATTCTAAAAAAAATCTATATACTTCAAAATGATCTTTACAGTTTGATCTTCTGTCTAGACGTATTGTCAGTGTCAGGTAAAGCACATTTTAAATGTAGTATAATTCTGCTTTCAATCGTCAATAATATGTACTTTACTAAAATAAACAATGCTTGACCGTTTTCAACCAAATACAACAAATCCTTTATATCAATTTTTTGATGAACATAATTCAACATTTTATATTTCACACTTAAATATTCATTGAATTGTTTGCTTTCCCCAATGTAATACCTCACTTAATTTATTAATATCAATAAATTTACGTTATTCTACTATGGAAATATTCATAAGTTAAAAAAAATGAATTTAAAAAAAAATTAAAAAGTAAATTAGATGAAACTTTAAAAATAAATTAAATTAAAGTGCAATAATTGCATTTAAAAATGCAAAAGAAAATTTCTAAATAAATAATCCAGACGTGTATTTAATTTTTTTTTATTCTCTATTTTCTAACATATCGATTCCGTTTTGTAGCAAACAGAAACTAAGCTCGCCTCCTATAATTTAAACATCCAGGATCGTAATTATGAACAAACTGTTCCCAGTTTTCCAGAAATTCTCTAACATTAACCATACAAACTGTTTTTAAACGACGTGTGATCAATAGCAAAACTTTACAGAACTTTTAATTCATGCAAATTACACATTACACAAATTATACAGATTTCCTACTTCCGTTTCAACTCTTCCCACTTCAAAGAAATAAAGAAAGAGAAAAAAACATAAGCGATTAGTGGAATATGCACAAACTTCCAGGAACTATAGATTTTCCGAATCAATCTAAACTATAAGTAATAATAAACTTTATAACGATCATGTTTAAATAGTATTATTTTCAATCATTACTTTTTAATTAATTATAGTTTTAATTAAAATTTATTGATTTGTGTTTATATAAACTTCAATATTTAATTATTTTTTATTTGACTTTATTTAAAGTGATGTAATTAAGCTATAGTCATATTATAAAATGTTATGTCAAATAAATATTGCTATTATTTATTACTTAAAATGATTAAAGAAGTATAGTACATAAACTACTCCATGCAAATAAGTCTGATAGATGTGGTCTTTGTGTTACACGGGATGAATTTACGTGATTCTTAAAAGATATTTTGTAATATATCAAATTGCCTGTAAATGGAAATCTTTGTGAAACTTTTTTTTTGTACGAAAGTAGAGGATTCAATAGACCGGAGAAATGGGGAATTCTGTGTCGGGTATTTTGAAAGTTCGAAAAAAAAAAAGAAAGAAAGAAGAAGGGATCCGTCCATTTGGGAGGGTATATTTCGACGATTTAAATGAGCCCCATAAGGAGAAGGCCCAAAAAGCGAAACAAAATACGCACCGAGGGTTGCAAAGGATCCCACCGCTCTTTTGGGAGTGGTTAGCAAAGTGCACAGCCGGATGCACCGCATCAATAAACACGTACAAATTTGAAGAGAAAATATTTTTTAAAAAAATCATATTTGTTTAAATTAATTAGTTTCAAAACGAAATTATTTTATTTATTATAAATATATATAGCTGCAGGCTATTAATTATTGAACTGAAGGGCAATATTAGTATTTAATCAATTTGTTAATTTCATACGGGACGATGGGTTTTGCCAAATTATTTTTAGCTGACTGGAGGCACGTCAAGTGGGGGAGGGAGTACAACCCTCCCACTTTAAGGCCAATATTATTTTTTTTGCATAATTTGTTTTTTATTTCATTCCATAAGGAATTTTAATGAAAACGCTTTACATTTTTATTATAGTTTCGATTCTTATATAGTCACTTCTCAACTTAAGACGTTTCGTTCAGCATCTTTGGACATAAGTCGAATTTGATACAAAAATAATAATATAATGATACAAAGTTCTTAAGTGCGAATGGTCGTAAGTCGAGAAGTTATTTTTTAAACCGACAAACTGTATCAATTATAAATTACTGCAAGGACAACATCGAGGGCTACGTTCATATTTTCTGGGATAATATTTTTTAGTGGAGCGGAGAATATTGTGGATGTCCAGGGAAGGCAATTTCGTAATAATGCACCTTTTTTTTGTTGGGATTTTCTGCACTGTAAAAGTGCAACTCAGGAAGGTGGCAGGTAGCAAGGACGAGTCAGATTCCTAGAACTGGGTGGAGCATTACCTATGCGAGTGCAGAAACATCCTATGTGGCTTAGTGTCCTTTTTGTTGCTGTAGGTGTAGTCGCCAACGATGGTGTGACCAAGAGCAGAGCAATGCACGCGTATCTGGTGTCTCCTACCTGTGATAGGCTTCACGAGGACCTTCGTGCAAGGGTAGCTATCGTAGAGTCCAGTTTCAAGGACAAGAAGGACAGTCATCGCATCCTTTGCCTTCACACAGTAGCTACGATCGTTCGTGCACATTTTCTGCGCTGCCGTGTCTATGCAGTTCTCGCCTGTGGAAAATAGCCTCGGAATAATAAATTCAAGAATAAAATCTGTTACGTCGCATTACCTATGGCCAGATTGATGAAAAGCAGCTCTTGCGAAATAACACCCCGCACTATGGCCAAATAATATTTCCTGATCTGCCGGAGTTGGAACAGACTGAACGTAATTTTGCAAGCATTTTTGTTTAATGGTATGCACAAAATGCCGCTGGTGGCGTAATCCAAGCGGTGCACGAAATAGAAATCGTGGTAAAGTTTGTTGTTAATGTGCTCTGGCACTTTCCTCCGCAAATAAGTTTGAATTGTATACTGAAATGTTATTTTATTTATAAACAACTGCTACCAAAGCATTGCCGCTTCGGATCATTACAGTCGCTTTGGATGGACTGAAAGCTGTCCGAAAGCAACGGTCAATCATATAACATGAACTTCCCCCTTTATATACAACATGTACGTATATAAATGCATACATGCATCTATATATTTGATTTAAATCCGAATTAGTGGATTATGCAACATACAATTACTTCCGTTTTATAACATCCATTAATCATATATATATCTACTGGGCGATTATGGATTAAACATAACCACTAGGTTTATATTTAACACTCTCTATTATACATTTAAATGCAATAAGCAACAAAAGCTTAATTTTATCATCTTCTACTTAACATTGATTTCACAACAATAATAATATGTAAAAAATGTTAATTAAAAAAAAACATTGAAGTTTAATAATTAAGTCTTTTTACATAATTTTGTTTCATTGTCTATAATATTTTTTTTAATTATAATTTTCATATGCATTTGTAAAAATCGTCTACAATCACATAAATTACAAAATAAAAACTGGATATAATAATAAAGTTAACTGTTACAAAAGGTCTATTGACAATAGGTCTTTTTGACCCTACATAAATAATTTAACTTTGTTAAGCTTAGTTGTAATAATTGTATCTAAATAATTATTTTGTGTTAATAAAGTGACGTTTTAGGTTTGTTCAATTATTGTATAACCTTCAAAGTAAATAAAATTATCGGATTTTTTAATCATAAGAAAATGATTGACAAAATATGAAAATTAAAGTGCATTTACTTATTAAAAAAAGAAAGTAAACAAATAATTAACTTAAATTAGTTTGTTTTCAATTTTTAAGTTATCATTTTAATTTAAGAATGTAACAACAAAAAAAAAGAGTAAAATAATTTCAATTTTTGAAAGTAACTTATGTTTTGTATTAATCATAAAATGAATTACATTATTATACAAATAGAAAATGGATTTTCATATGCATTTGTAAAATAGGTCTTTTTGACTAGATAAATAATTTAAATTTGTTAGGCTTAGTTTTAATTAATGTATCTAAATAATTATTGTGTATTAATAAAGAAACTTTTTAGGTTTGTTCTATTATTGTATCACCTTCAAAGTAAGTGAAATTTAATCAATAAATAACAATATAAATTAATTATAATTACCGGATTTTTTCATCATAAGATTGACAATTTTTGAAAAATAACTTTTGTATATAAAATGGATATACATGAAACACTCGATATTTAAATAATAAATACATCAAAAGCAATCATTTGTTTAGCTTTGTTTTGAAAATGTAGGGAACATCCCGAGGATAAGATTCCCGTTTTCTACGTGACTTTCTTGCACGCAATAAATCACGCCCTCGGTGATTGCTCGTTGTAGGAAAAGCAGGTGTGTGCGAAATTTATGCAATATACAGAAAATCAATTCGATAAAAAAAAAAACAGGAACAACAAAATGCGTCTCCGCTCGATGCTTCATTTTGCCCGGAATTATGTAAGGGCATGAATTGTTAAGTAACAAAATGCGAAGAATCTGTTACGACGTCTCTTTTCTTCTTTATATACATTTTTTTTCATTGCTTCCACTCAATTAGACGAAATATGTATTCACGTTTCGATTCTGAGTTTTGTTTATTTTTATTATTTTTTCTTTACAGCTTTCAAATCGTTCACATTTAAATATACATAAAGATTGAATCATCTGTGGTTATATACGATGGAAATTGGTAATATTTTACATAACAAAAACAGAAAGCAATTATTGAAATGAATAAAAGTATTTTATGGTTTACTTTAAAAACAAGGATTTTTCAACAACATACTTTGAAAATTACATTATAAAAAGTACAAACATTTTTCATTCATTATTACGAAATTTATTTGCACTTAATAATAAAAAAAAATATTATGATTATTTATGTTTGATTGCTTCGATAAATATTATTATTAAAAATATACATAAATTTAAAATGCATAAATATCTTTTGTAAATGAAATGGAAATTGCGACAAATATATTTGTCCCGATTAAGCGAAATCGACTATTTTTTAAAGTTTTATATAATTTACATTTGGTCAAAATATTTTAATAATATTGATACAAAATAGTAACAGAATGTGCACATTCATTCCCATTACATAATTTGAAACATTTACAAGAAATTTAATTAAATGTAAATATCAATTAAATGAATAGAAAATTTGGATTGAAGCCAATATTTAAGATCGAATGTTTATAAGTAAATATTTATAATGAAAATATACCTTCTTCAACTAGCCTTCATAGATGAAACAAATATATACAATACTTCAAGGAGCAGTAAGTTAATTACATTAGACTATAGTATAATATAAGTTTCTACTACACGAATTTGTACAACGCGTTAAAATCCGAGGAAACATCTTGTATAACACGATTTCCTAAAACACATAATGTATTAACTGCGTTGTCGAGAGTCTACTGTATCATATCAATGGTTATTCATTATAGGCAACCATACTACCATCAATTTGAATTATCAATAGACTATTAGTATTTAATCATTTAACAACACAATCAGTTAAAGATAAAATAAACATTTATTATTAACACTAAATATCGTTTAGTATTAAGTAATTTTCAAACCGGACTATACTTTCTCATTTTCCTTTATATTCCAAAATATTAATGTCTTGTTTGATTATAATATAAGTATAAAGACCTATGGACAATAGACTTTTGTATCAGTTGACTTTCTTTTTAACATAAGTATAATTTTTGTTATAGAACCTTGTTTACCAAACTTAAATTATCGTTGATATTGAATCAAGCTATTATGTAATAATTGCATACTTTAATAAAGTTCTTATTTATTCTGGTATTACCAGTTTACTCTTAACAAACACTACAAAGAAACAACTCTGTTTTTGAAGGACATCGACTTTATTACTAATATTTTATTTTCTTATCAAAAAACAACTAATAACTTCGCAATGTTTACTATAATCAATGTAATGGATGATCTAAAAATTGGATAATGAAGGTTTTCCATTACACAAAATATGGTAATTATAACATAAGAAAGGGTTATTCTAGGTGTTAAATTCTATGAATCATAAATACTGGTAATCCTATTAATTCGAACACCTGTATGAGCATAACAGCACCCAATTATCACTAATCGATAATCAATTAAGGGAGACGTCAATATAATTCCTATTGGACCAATCACAAAGCAGTGTTACTGCACACCAATAATAGGTTCAATTCCAGTCTATGTATTTATCCGATGAAACACACAACCAATCAAAATAACTTTCAATTGTCCTAGGATTCAATATGCTTAACAAGCTTCTTAATTAATAGTTTGTAACTATCTTATAGATAAATAAAATATCCAAAGTTTTAACTAAAATGTTTGTTTCAGGGTCAGAACGTAATTGTATTAAATATTTTTAAAATAAAATATTGAAAATTTTGATCTACAAAAAGAAAATCAGTATGTTTTTTTCTATGATTTTATTGATAGAGTAAATTATTTCCAATTCGCCCAATAATTTATTAAAATAAAATTAATTATATCATTTGCATTTCTATAGCAAAAATTGTAATATTTTTAATTAAATTAATACTTTTCTATCAATATAAAATTTAATTTTGTGACAGATTTAGCTGTTTTTTTATAGATTAACAAAATATAGTTTCTATACTGTTTAGAGCTTTTATTTACAATATGAAATAACGATAAATATAGTTGAGCTCATGCATTTGTACAAGTTAACCTCTTATTTTCTTTACCTGATTTTTATTATTGCTATTGATGAGTAGATCATATGGTTTATTAACCAGAAGATAATTCTTGCTGAAATAAATAATTTCTGGTCTATTCTCGCGCAGAAATTTGAATAATAATTCAAACGCTTTCAGTACAACCACAATCATGGCTGCTCCCAACAATGTGTTGTTTGTAGGTTAATTAACTCAGTCACTTTGATTATCAAAACATACTTAAGTCATTTCAAACAAACGCACACTTAGAGAAGAAAAAACGCACAGTTTACACAATTTCACAATAACGAACAATCAGCAAAGTTTGTCCAACTTGTTTGGTAAAAATAATTCAACAAATGCACACCACTAAACAAATTAGTTTTAACAGAAAGCAATGAAATACGCTTGCTCAGCAGCATTTATTTAAAAAAAACATATATATGTATAAAAATAAATTATTATAAACTTCAGGGAAATGGATACACATTAAAATATCACAATAAAATTGTGGTGAATTTAGGCTTATACTTTTTTGAAGAAGTTCAACATCGTCGCCTGATTCGGTTTCACCTTGGACCGTCTTGTAATTGTTTTCTGAAAAAAATCAGATTAAAATTGAATTCTTTAAATATTAAATAGAATACCTTAATTGCGTTCAGAGTCGGCTTTTTCCTTTCTGGTATTAATGGTTTCTGCACACGCTCTTTCTTCACAACAGGTACATTGTTTTTATCCACTACTTTAATTATTTCAGAATTTTTTGATACTTTATTATCATCTTCAACTATTTCATTTTCTTCAACTTCATCAATTTCCATGGATTCGTCTATCCTATTTGACGATTCCTCTATCCTAGTTGATGATTCCTCTATCATAGTTGACGATTCCTCTATCATAGTTGAAGATACCTTTATCCTAGTTGAGGATTCCTCTCCAGTAAAACTAGACTCGCTCATTGGTTCTGGCTTAATCTGAATGGATTGTCTTGTATTGGTTTTCTAGAAAGATTCAGATTAATATTCAAAAGAAAGAACTCACAACTGTATTTCAAATAGGACACCTTAAATGCGTTCAGATTTGTTTTTGTCCTCTCTTCATCAAATGAACTATCCATCAAAGAATCGTCATTTTCAGCAACAGTCTGATTATTTAGTAATACTTTTATCTTTTCATTATCTAATTTCAAAATTCCACTATTTTCTATATCTTTAACATTAATTGGTTCTGGTCTTCTTATCACATCACCTTTTTCTTTAACATATTTCTGAAATTATAAAATTGACTTAAGTGATTCTTTCAAAGCACAAACAACTTACGTGTCTGAAAAATTTACTGATTGTGGAAATGGAATGATTAATTTCAGCAGGCTAAAAATATGATTATCATGTAAATCATGGATAAACGATAATTATAATTCACATACTTTAACCTCGGGCTCGGGTTGTTTCTTCTTAAAGAAATATTTACCGGTAGGGACTAGTTCTTCTATTGGTTTCAAGCATTCTTCCATGTTTTCTTCAATTACCACTTTATTTTTATGACAATCAACTGGTTTTACTCTTTTATACGAAATAATACTCTGATTTGGTTTGATGCTTTCATTTTCTTTCCCTTTCTTGTGAGAACAAAATATAGAGCCGAGCTTACTTTCTGGATTGTAATTGTCATAAACCTTGTTATTCATATCTATATTACCAAGAGCCAATTGATAGCAATCTACGGATTCCTTCAAAAATTTCTTGATGAACTCAGAATAATCTTCATCGCGGATTTCATTAACGCTAGGCAAATTTACCGGGACTCGTAATTTAAGTTTAGGGTCAAACACCTCTTGGCATGAAAAAGCAATATCTGCCATTACAAAATTTTCAATGTAATCATCATCAACAACCAGGTTGGGCATGTTCAATTTCAATGGGATTTTTAATAGGAATTTTCGTATATCTGAGTTAATTATTTGGCACATGAATTTCCACGATTTTACGAGTCCTATTCCGGGCAAATTCTGCACGTAATCGCAGCCAGATAAAATACAGGCATGTCTGAATTTGCGGAATTCGAATTTTTCAGGCTGAGTCAGCTGAAGTGCTGACCAGAGCTTAGTCTGTGTATAAACCTCTCCTGCACCACTATCATCTAATTTAAAAAATATCTAAAATTAAACATTATTTGGTTTCAGTACTGTATCTATAAGCTTACATTTCTACATCCATAGACAATCAGATCTGAGTCTTCAGTTATCACAAAGTCCACATAATTGTTAATCTCTAAAAAGGCCAACTGGGCATCTGCTTCATAAGGAGCTATAATACATTCAACCCCAACATTTCTAGCGACTTTAATTAAAGCTAAAGCCATTTCATGTGTAATATCAATAGCCCTTGACATATATGGTCTAGCTAATTGGTTTTGACCACTGGCAACCAACAAATTTGCCTTATTCCTAGCATCTGTCCTACTTTCATGCCTACTCTTGTCAACAATCTTCATTGGCATGTTCTTCCCATCAAAGACAAGAACTGGCATTATCTTGAAATGCTTTAAAAGATTTATATATTTCATACAGTAGTCTATATATCTAAAAGAATATTACAATTATTATATATTTCTAATAGTCTTAAATGAGAACATTAAGGATTTTATGAATGAAATTTATCTAACACATACTTTGTAGTTTTACGTCCAAAGAACAAATCTTCTGCACAGCAGAACACTCCCCTGTGGAGCCAGCAGTAGGCATCAATAGCAACCCTTTTATTTTTGAAGTCCCTTAAATGTCCACGTTCAATGGCCGGATTCTTTTTCTTAAGAAATGGTATTAAGCCTGTTATACCCATGATCTGACATATAACGTTACTGCTGGTCCTCTTAAAATACTAAACTCAACCAAACTCAACTAACTTCTGCAGAATGTATCGAAATTGTAGGTTCTTCAATTGGCGGGAAACGCGGTAATCTTTGAGAAGGAGTATTTTGCCAACTTCAGGTGAATGGTAATCAATAGAAGATGTACTTCTGTGCATGTTTATTCTTATGTATAAAGAGTAGTTTGTTGATTTAAGCATGTTTACCGATATGTTTACTTATTGTATATGTAATAATGGCTATATTAGTCTAAAAAATAATCTTATTAATTATATACGATCTTTAGTTGGTGATACTGAAATAAGACATAACAATTCTCTTTGCGCTTTTCTTCTTTATGCGCATGGAAACAGTATATTTTTAAGTATTTCCAATTAACATAGCTTCTTAAATTACAAGAAATATGTATTTAATAGTATAGTAGTGCTTGCAAAGGGTTGTAGTGTTTGAGATGAAGATAATTCCAAATGGAATTTACGTTAGACTATAGATTAATGGAAAAACTTTCAATTAAGTTATCTCAAAAGAGTTAGTGCAACTTTTTGACTTTCAAATGGTTGGTACCATGGCAAGTCATAGCGTATGCGCAATAAACGTAAAATACATAAATCATCCTCAAAAGTAAAGCTTTTCAATTTTTGTCAACATTTTATGCACTAGGTAGGCCTTATAATTTACCCATTTTTATTTCAAATCATTTGACCACGAAGATGCCAGTGAGGAGAGCCCTACATGCTGGAAGTTGGTATACAAATTCAGGTATTTAAAGGAGAATCAGCTGATCTTTTTGTTGTTAAATTGTTATTTGCATGTCATTGACCTTCTGAAACAAAGGGATAAGCGAGTTAATTATTAATTTTTACGATCAAAATGGCGTTGTACGTTATACAATTTTTTACAATTGTTTTGTGTATTAAGGACCAGAGCTGTCTAGACAGCTGGATTATTGGTTAAAGCAAGCGGATCTAAGCCATGGACCAGCCAGGGCAATCATTGCTCCGTGAGTTTGTAGATATACATGTCTAATACAATAATTATTGTTTTGTTGTAGTCATGCTGGCTATCAATATTGTGGAGCTTGTGGGGGGCACGCTTATAGACAGATAAGTCCTGTTGTAGTGAGACGCATTTTTATATTAGGTCCATCACATCATGTTCGGTTGTCTGGTTGTGCCTTATCTAGTGCACAAAAGTATAGAACACCACTCTATGACCTGCACATAGATTCTAAGGGTACTGTATAGATATTTCTCAGACGTTCATGCGAATATAATTATTCTCCTATTGCAGTCAACGAAGATCTCTCTGCAACAGGACAATTTGAGTGGATGGACTTGGACACTGATGAAAATGAGCATAGTATAGAAATGCACTTGCCTTACATTGCTAAAGTTATGGAAAGGTTTTCTATCATATAACAAGCAAGGTTTTTAAAATTACATCTGTTATGGTTTTTTAGTTTTAAACATCAGTTTACTATAGTACCAATACTTGTCGGATCTCTCACACCAGAGAGGGAAGCATGCTATGGGAGGATTCTGTCTAATTACTTAGGCGACCCTCAGAATCTATTTGTGATATCTTCAGACTTCTGCCACTGGGGACAACGTTTTCGTTACACTTATTACGATCGTTCTTATGGAAATATACATCAATCAATTGAAGGATTAGATAGGGCTGTATGCAAATTAATAACTAATTATTAGCTTTTTTTTTAAATTTACTCTAATTTTGTTTTAAGGGCATGAATATCATTGAAACTCTGAATCCGACAGATTTTACGAATTACTTAAAGAAGTACGGAAATACTATTTGTGGCCGGCATCCTATTGGCATCCTTTTGCAGGTTCGTATAAAAATAAACTATATTCATTAATAACAACAATAACAAAAATTTCTTCATAACTATAAATCTATGGACAATCTTTCTTTTGTTTAAGGCTGTGCAAGATCTGATGAGGAACGATCGTAGCCAAAGCGCCAGCTTGAAATTCTTGAAGTACGCGCAGTCCAGCCAATGCCGTAATATGGATGATAGTTCTGTGAGTTACGCGTCGGCTGCTTTGGTTTTCGAATAACCTGAGGCCTTACCTACGTTTATACAGTGGCTATCAACCAATTTGCAACTTCGGTTATTTTATCATACGAATCATTATTTTTGAATTTACAATTAATTTGAAACATTTTACAAGCATAATCCCAATTAATTTAATTTTATGCAATTTACATACAGGTTTATGTAACCAGTTATCTATATATATTGAAAACTTTCATATTTCATTGAGTGGAGCGGGGCGTGGCGTTTCCGTGCTCACTCCTCTTTTCGACCTTGACTTGACCCATCGACCGATACTTAATTAATTTGACATACGCTATCGAGGCGATATATCTCCTAATGAATTAATTTATCAATGACGCCTTCTCAATATGATGTATGCCTTAAAAAAGTAAAGCGAGTGATTAGGATTAGGCCTTCCGATTGAGACACGAAATACTACCATATATTTCACAGAAGAGACAAAAATATGAAACAAAATCGGGACGAGAAAACCAAAAAAAAAATAATTAAAGAAAAGCGATCAAGAGAAAAGTAAACGCTTATATATAAATATATTTTGGTAATAGTTGTAATGCCACTAAAAATAGCTCAGGTGAAATTTTTTTCTTTTTTTTTTAGAAAAGAGTATTACTTTTATCAACTATCTTTCAAAGTAATTAGAGCAAAGAGTATATTTTCTCGATGGAAATAAATTTAACAAGAAAATTGAAAAATAAAATCGTAATATAACAAACTCAGTCCAAATAAGTAAATCATATTTATATATACACATAAGTCAAAGAACAGTGTTCAGAATTTACGGAGTACTAATTCATTTCGAACGTGTAGCACTGCATATTACAAGGGAAATACGTGTTTCTGTTGTTCTGAGGGGGGAAATATATGAAAATGATGAGAAAAATTTCAGGTGCCGCCACGTGCCTATATTTGATGAAAAAAAAAAACATAATATAAACTATCAATTAAGCAATTCATTAACACTAGCAGCATATAGGATTAAAGAATTTTACTAACTATAAAGAGAGGGAAAAAAACAACAAAGAATCATTATGTGAACATACAATTTTTTATAAATGTTACATATATTAAAGGAAAAATAATATTGATAATACGAAAAGAAAAAAATTCTGTTTTATATAAAAAAAATATATATATATAATTAGGCATACATTTTTAAATATTACTTTTCATTTTTTTTTTGATGGTATGGTAGAGTTATTTTATTAATTTACTAATATTTAATTACTTAGTACTATAGATACTTAATTCCGCCTTATAAAAGCTCGCATCATTGGAAAATGTATCACAAATGTACTGCGAGTGTTTTGAGAACAGTTTAATATCAATTATAACGTATAGAGCAATAAAAATAATAATATGAATCCGAAATAATAATTGACTGAATGATTATTTTAATACATTTACAATGATAACTAATGATTTCACCGATTTCTAATATATTATTCATAATTTATTTAGAAACTTAGTGGCAGATTTATATAGGAACAACGAAACTTGTTAATGTAAGGCTCATTTTATTTTGCAATTGTACTGTAGTTTTCCAATTTTATTATTTGTTTTGTACACTTAAAATTTATTGGAAATCAGCTATTGTTACTCACGGATTTTGCTTGTTTTCTTTTAATTCGATTACATGTATTGGCATAAAGGATTATTCATGATTAAAGGATCAACGCCGATTAATACAACCGATCTTCCCTGTCAGTAACTTCCATTTTGGGATGTTTATAAAGTCTGTAATTTCTTAAAATATTTTCAATACTTATACAAACTAGTATCATATAATTTAGTTGGATTTTTGTTAGGTTTCTGTGTTGGATTGTAATATTTTTAAAGTTTATGGAAATAAACGAACACCAATTTTCTACAAGTTTGTTAAGCAAGTCTCGCATTTTCAAGTTGATTGTTTAGTATTGAATGATCCTTTGATTACCAACAAAAACAAATAAAGTTTATAGTACAAATTTTTATTTTTTATTTACTTGTATTCCTATAATTACATCCTGTATAATTCATATTTTAGATCACAAAAAATGTTTACTATTTTTATTTGAATGACTATCGACCATGATTTATGTAATACATCTATCCACCCATCCACGCAACATATTGCTTAACTATAAGATGTCAAATAAGAAAGATCTGATCAACTTCACATGTCTTAAGTAATATAACACTAAATATAAATGTCTAAATATTTTACTTATATATTACTTATATGACTTATATGGCTTTAAATATGACTTTAGTTTCAAAAATAACAATGAATAACATTTTAAGATAATAAATAGAAATTTCATAAATAAAGAAGTACAAGAAAGAACGTTAGCAAATTGAAAATATAAAGGTCGATAGCCTTTTGACTTCTGATGATGTAAATAAAATTGATAATTCTTGTATTTCTATATTATAATAAATTTATTAGATTTATAAGAATTTAAGATTATAGTTCTTATATAATTTGTTGACAAATCTAAATTGATTTAATTAATTGAATGGTTATAGAAGCAAAAACAATGTAATGATTTAATTCAAATCGATTGATTCGTTTGTTCACAAGACAATAACAGCAATTTGTGACCCTGCAATATATATAAATATATGTTTACATAATATACATGTGTGTATATATGTGTCATGCAATAAATCAATGCATTTGTTTATTTTTTAATAATAGAGATTTAGGTGGATATCTGGGATTTGCGACTATCTTCAGCTAGTAATGTAACAATAACCTGCCACGTTGCCAGATCACCTATTTAAAACCTATTTTAAAGATAAGATAAATCGGATTAAGTGCAAACATAAGTTTAAGACCAATTGGATTAAAAAGATTAATGCTTTTCAATGATTGACTGTTGTTTTTATCAAGTATTTGTTGATGTTTTGCAAATATTTTATTAATGTTATTGATATATTTGTTTATTCTTATTGGATTTTATTATTGATTGTTCTTTTAATTGTTATTTGAAAATGATTTTCGGGTTTTAATTGCAAATCTGTTATTTTTATTTGGTCTTTTTTTCATTGATATTGGATGGTCGTTTGATGTGGGTGGGATATGGCATCCATGTTGGTAGTACAAACAAGAGTTGTGTGTGCTGAATTTTTTTGTACGCTAAATAGCACATAAAGGTGGTTTATTTGCAAAATAAAATAATAATGTTGGTGCAGTTGAACTCGTAAGGGTTGTGGTCAGTGTTTTCAATTGGATTTAGGCAGTGTTAGGTGGTTTTGCGTAGGCCTATTCAATTGCAGATCTATATATTTTTTTTTCGTCCGAGTGGTGGAACATAAACATGGCTACTATAATACACATATCTAGAAAATGTAAGAACGATTGTTAATGGGTGCACTTTTGAACTGCATATGCCTGATGATTACGGCCAACAACATGATTCTGTGTCGCCCAGGTGAGAATCGGGACGTAAGCCCCCCATCGTTTGAGAGCTTCCTTTAACCTTTGCGTCCGCAAATACTGTCAACAGTTGTTTACCACTTTAGCCTACTTTAACATTATCCAGCTATTGTACCATGCATCCCGATTTCCCGAATGGAAAACCTATCGCTCCGAATATCTCCATACGAAACTCGTCGCAACTGCTCTGCAATGGGTAAGATAAGCTCATAAACATAGAATATTTACCCAACCCCAAATTGACCCATTTAATTTTTGTGTGAAACAACATTGCATTTGATGTACAGTAGAATGTTTACGATGAATGTTATTAGGGCTGAATTCAGTGAAGCCTCAGCACAGGATTTCAAGTACAACTCTACTGATAAATTGAAAGGTCACTTCATTAGAGCGCACCATACTTGTAACAACATTCCAGTTTATCGAGAATTCAATTATTCAATATATGCTTGACAATCATGTTTGTATATATGAATCATTAGTGAATATCAATTATGATTAATTTTCTGTATTTATCATTTATATGCATGTTGTTTGTTAATAATTGAATGATGTCACTTGTTTTATACTTTGGTTAGTGTGTGTTGTTGATGCATTCATGCATTTTTTGCAGGCTGTGTCTGCATGTCAGGCCTTAGTCTGGGCAAGCGATGAACCTATTTGGCTGTCTATTTCCATGTGCACTGCAGCACAGCTGGTGGGGTGTGGGAAGTGAGCAGTGCATGACTGAAGAATTTGTACACAGAATGGGTGTAAACGCATCATCTGCATCTGCTGGTGAGCAAGCGGGAATACCAGGGGCTATTCCTTTGACTGATCCTCCATCAGCAGTTTACAGAGAAACGATGGGGGTCATAGTGCGCGAGAGGAAAAAGAAGGTCACTGGATTCGCGACGCTCAAGAAGAAGCTGATTCGTCGTCGCCGATCCTCCAAGGCGTGCGACCATGGAAGGATGCTGAGGGAATTGGTATCCGATTGGACCCCACTCGAGATCGCCGCTCTGCTAGAGGAGTACGAGGCTTTGGCTGCACTGAAGGATCTCTGCGTTCAGGCCGAACTGGCCAGACCGCCAGCAGCCACGTTCAAACAGGACTTGTCCGCACTCTACGACTTCAAGTATTGCACAGATGCTGATCTGGTGTACAGAGGAGCATGTTTCCCAATACATAGGGCTTTACTGTCGGCACGTTGTCCTTATTTCCGAGATCTCTTAGCCGGATGTCCGGGATATGGCGCCAGAATCTGCTTGGAGCTGAGAACGGCCACCGTCGACGTGCAGCTCTTCTCAGCGTTGTTACGCTATTTGTACACTGGCGACATTTGCCCCCATGACACAAACATCGACATGAATCTGTTGAGAAGACTGCGCGAAGAATTTGGCACGCCAAATGCATTGGAAACCGATTTGAGCTATTTACTCGAGACCGGTGACTACGCCGATGCTGCTTTGGTATTTACTTCAGACGGCACAGACTGCCAGAGGCCCGACTCCGGAAACTCAGAGTACGGATTCAGGCCTAAACTCGAACTGCCATGCCACAAGGCTATATTATCTGCTAGATCTCCGTTTTTCCGAAACCTTTTGCAGAGACGATCTCGAAGCGGCGAAGAGCATACAGAGAGGGCGCTACATATTCCAACTCGTATTGTGTTAGATGAGAGCGTCATTCCTAAACGGTTCGTTTCCTATACACAACGATATTCTTCCTTCTAAAGTCGTCTTTATGTTTGTTTGGTCTAGGTATGCGCGGGTTTTACTCAATGCCGTTTACTTAGATCAAGTCGATTTATCGTATATATCACGTGGAGGCTGTGGAGGAGGACTCGGTGAGGCTCAGGCTTTGGCACACACCGGAAGAGTCCGACCTTCTCCGCTCGAAGAGGCTATGGAATTGTACCAGATTGGTAGATTCCTCGAGTTGGACATACTTGCACAAGGCTGTGAGGATCTCATTTTAGACTGGTTGTCTTTAGAAACATTACCTACAGTTTTGCAATGGTCACGTCAACCACACGGATCTGCTTGGGTTCATAGACAGGTAATTACAACAATTACTATTTATTGATATATTCAAGTGATTTCCAAATAGAAAAAAAATGCAGATCACTGGTATATAATAGCATTCAGGATACGTTCGTGGGACTTGGAGCTATATGTAGTCATTATAAAAATACAAACGTAGTTAGTTATAAAAACAAATTAAAAAACAATAAACAGTGAATCATATATATTTATATTAATTATAAAATATTTATATTAATAAAGAAACATAAAAATAATAAACCATTATAAATACAAGAAATTAGTAATATACTAGAATTTCCTAAATATTAGTTTCAAAAATCAAAATATATAATATTTATGAACAGATTTTTAAGTACTTTATATATTTTACATGTAGCAGTTGCTCAATTGCAACTATTTATTTATTTGTTGCTTGGTATCTCGCCGTTACTTTCTCTTCCCAGTCACTAATCGATCTTCCTTCATCGTTCAACCTTTCTACATTAGCAACAGTTTATTGAACTCTGTTATATTCTTTAATATTTCTCAAAGAAAAACGTTGTCAATTCCAAAATTTAAATTACAAGTTTATACAAAATAATAATTAGATTTATCAACTTTCATTAGTCTTCTTAATTTAATACTTATTTTCTTTTTTTGTTGCAATAAATATTATTACTTATTTTATATATAGTAATATATTATGTGATTATAATTTTTGAAACATATTTACGACCTTTCTTAATTAAAATAAATAATTTCAAATATGTATATTTCACAATTAAATATATATATTTTGATAAAAGTATAGACAATACTGTTAAATATCTAAAATGTTATTGATTTACTGACTGTACAAACATTTTTATGAAAAGTTGTTTTCTTTATTTCTCATGCGAGAAAGCAAAATACATTCAAGGTGTTTTTCTATCTCCAGGCTTTGCACTTCTTGCGCGAAGAGTTTCAACCCGTGGCGCAATCATCTGTCCTTCATCAGTTGGACAAAATCCACTTGGCGGAAGTCTTGAAGAGTCCGTTTCTACAGGCTTCCGAGCTGGAAGTACTTCATGCAGTATTAAAATGGGGCGAAAATGAGCTAGTCAGACGTATGGAAGATAGAGGTATGGAGTATTCGTGTTTGTAGTATTTTATGTGAAATCTCACGCATTGGATTGGTTTGGTTTGCAGAGCCCAATTTGTTAAATCACACCGCGCATTCGGTAACCAGAAAAGGGGTCAAGAAGCGCGATCTGAGCGATGTCGAGTTACGAGAAATATTGTCGGATCTACTGCCTCTGGTGCGAATGGATCATGTTTTGCCACCAAACAGCGACATCTTGAACCAGGCCATCCGCAGAGGATTGGTGAGCACTCCGCCAAGCCACATGATTGGTGGCGAACGCGAGAACATGAGGGTGAATGCCTGGATTCGAAGCACTAAGAATAACGGTTTGTTCGTACAACCTAGACTGTTCATGCCGTACTACGAGGAAGTGAAGGTCCTCTTAGAAGATCAGCTAGTGCAAGAAGTGGAAATCATGAGGTTGAGGAGGGTAAGATACATACAGGACATTCCAGACACTTTGTATATGGTCGAGGAGAAGCCAAGGCCTGCTCACGGGCCTGCTGGCGTAGATGTGCTGGCTTCCATAATACCAGTACCTGATCCGGCAATCATGAACGCTATGCTGAAACGCGAGCAGAAGCTGCGACAGAGTCCAGGTTGTCAGAGAGCATTGAATATGCCATTGTCTTCACGGCATGAAATTAGCAGACAGATACGTTTACGCGTCGTTAGGGAATTCAACCTTCCAGATCCAGTGGCCGATATGTTGGAAAATTGCTTCTGTGTACCGGAACCAGCGGAGAACGAGCTACCGCCTGCACCTTCAAACGAATCTCAACCATCGCCTAGTAAGAGCCGCAACAGGAACTGTTATGGTAGGAACATGACATTTCCGAGACAGGGGACCTACTCTCAACGACACGAATTGCCAGCTATTGTACCTGAAGGCGAATTCCGTTTCATAAACGAACCGGAGAGCAGTTCCTGCAGTGACGGTCATCTCTCGGACATCATGCCGGATGTAGCAATGGCGACATCAACTCTTGGACAGATCCAATTACAGGAACAACAGGAGATGGAATTGGATTTAGGCGATGGAACGGCCCACATGCACGCATCACTCGGCGGTTCGCAGGTTCTTCCGAACCCGATGCTTCATCCAGTTTCGTACAGACGGTATCCGCCAAACACTTATCCACATCATCGACCAGATTCTCAGCCCTATCATCCCATGCCCAGATTCTTATAGTAAGTAAGCTCTAAGTCAAATTTCAAACTGAGGAAATTCTCACAATTCCGCATTTATCACTTGATTTCATTCCTCCAGGACCCAAACATATACTGGCATAGGTGTTTCTTCTAAATCTATTTTCTTATCTTCTCTAATGAGCTAAAATACATAATTCAATGTTTAACGTTTCCCCCAGAACCACAAGCATATATACACTGATGAATTTAAGTGTTCACTTCAAAGATAATATATTAATTAATGATGAACAAAAAAAAACTTAAAAATAATAATTAAATACATTATAATAATATGGAAATTAATCTATAATATATATAAATATATAACTGTTATTAATTTACGACTAATAACTCTTTGTGTAATGTATACTCAATGTTGCTATTAATTGTCAATTTCCGTATATACAGTGTTTCTATTTAACAGAAATACACTTATCTAGATTAATATGGAAAAGCAAAAAGAAATATATATATATGAAAAACATAACGTTTATAGATTACACTAGTGGCTCTGTGATTCAAGATTTTTTCTCGTAAATAAGATGCACTGATGTGCCAAATCTAGTTGAAAGTGGTATAAACAAATACGAAAGGGTGTGGTTCAGACAATAACTTGAAATTTAAACACCACAGAACATTGATTCTGAAATTTTTGCTAGTATCACATTTCCAATATAAATGTTGACGTATTACGACGTATATAGAATTTTCGTTTATTATCCACGTAGATATTGAATTGATGTTACGTAATAGCATATGACTTAACGAGCTACTTAAGTGTATTTTCAATGGTCAACTCTCTCTATATATAAACAAAAAAAATAATATGGTATAATTATAAAATAATATGGATAAGCAAAGTCCCGTTCGTGTCCTTTACGATTCTGTCTCAACTCTCTTTATCTAGATAAATGTATTCTTCTGTCATTCCGCGTTTTATCTCATTGGACGAAATAAGCAAAATGAACAAAACCAGAAATATCTATATATATATGAAATACAAATGAAAAGAATGAAAAAAAGTATATATAAATATAAACAAACAGGAATTGTGTCGATGTGTATTGTGGTTTAGGTAGCGTCGAGCCAATACTTATAAGTCGGAAAGAACAAAACTCTTCTATTATCCTTGTACCTGTGTATGTTTGCTATTTTATGTAAATATATATATGATATTCAGATGTAAAACAAAAGAAAATTATCGAATAATTAATTAGAGCGTACGGGAGTGGAGCGAGTATGATTTGGCAATTTCTGGATTCGGCCAAAGTAATTCTAATAATTTAATTAGTGTGCAATTATTCTATATACAAATATAAATATATATATAATGAACGTAATAATGTACTTAAATTTCGAGTTGTGTGGAGAAGAAACAAAGAACAAAACAAGAATGGGACAAAAAAAATTGAACAGTTTCACAACGAAAAAACGTCCCATTTACATTCTTAATCTAAGAAAGTTTTTCATTTTCCCAAAACAAAAATTATATAAAACGAACCTTTAAAAGGTGTAATCTCTCTCTTTCTCTCTATCTCTGTCTATTATTATTATTTTAATTAATATTATTAATGATTATTCTAATTTAATTTAAATTTGTTCCTTTATGAAGGGTTAAAAAAATCATATTTAAATCATTTCGCCAATATTTATTGCATATCATTCTGTATTTAGTTATTAAAATATCTGTGATAAGATTTATTTTGTGGGGTCATCTACTGTTGTTGTTTTTTTTTATATTATTATTATTATTACTATTATTATTTTTTATTACTATGATCATGATGATGTATAAATATAATTTTTTTTTATTGGTTTTCTTTGCAGTCACAGATCGCCATTTTGTGATATGTAGGTAAAATGTAATCTATGTTAATGTAATCTCAATATTGTTGCAAACTACATGTTAGCTTAGTGGAAAAAAATATGAACTTACAAAAAGGATACTTGTAATGCTTTAAGGAAAGCGATATAGGAATATTTGCCGTTCTCTCCTTCGAAGCATAAAGTGAAAAAGAAGAAGAAAAAACACAACACCTTATACCTACTTAGGGATACGAGGATTTCATTCTTATTTTCTAAATACATACATACCTTTTGCGGCCAACTTTCAGGGTTTAAACTATTTTAATCTTAGCATTGGAAAGAAAACAAAGGATATAAATGATAACATTTAAAACAAATATATATATGAGAAAAGAACACTTAAATAATAAGAATCTTGGATTTTTCTATATGTGATATATATTTAACTTTTCGATTAATTACATCAATTACATTACTTGGATTCATTATTTGACACATTGTTTTACAGTCTAAATTCAACTTATGTTAAACTACTGCTATGCATCAACAAATGATATAAGCATGCTGTTCTACCAACAGACTCCCCTTCACACTGTTCCCTTACTTTGTTTTATATTTTTTAGATTACTTTTAAATTATTTCAAATTGTAAATATTATATATAAATATATATATATAAATATATTAAATAATATAATTCATATTATACATACTTCCTTTATTTAATTGATATTGATAAACATTGAAAATTGGAACATCCAAATATATTAATTATTATGTGAGTAAAAATGGTTTTGTTTAATCTGTCTGAGTACCTCTACCAACCTTAGGCGACTGATACTGCAGATGTAACATCTTATAGCTGCGAATTGGAGGTCGACATTTTATATCGGTTAACTTGATCTTCTTCAGCTGCTTGATCTCCAAATCGCTAATGCAGTCACTGTCAGATAAAAAGCGCTTCCTGCGCTCTGGGCCACTGCCAGCAATACCCTGAACCACGCTTTTCATCAAATAAGCCATCGAGGACCAAAGCCCCGGAGTTTCAGTCTGAACAATAGAGTCCACCTCTTTCGGGGCTTCATCCGAAGATACGGACGAACCTGAAATAGCATTATTTAAAAGAAAACCATTTATTAGTTTCAAACCTTTGCTCAAGTCAGGCTTTCAAGCACTTTTGTGCTGCTACCTAGATTCTGGCGAAATTATTAAAAATAAACCTACCTAAAAAAAATACAAATAAAACGGTAACAAAAGAGCAACATCTAGGAACAAAAAATAAGGAAAAGAACAATAACGTAAATAAATGAAAATTAGTTTTGCAGAATTGTTTTATGCCGATCTGGAAAAAAGATTATTGTTTAACTGTAAAATACCTGAATCGATCATTCGTCTTTTTGGCGGTTTCTCATCAATAAAATCAGCCGAATCGTTTAATGCGCTTTCCCAAAGGGTGTCATTACCAAGGCTACTCCTTCTGCGTTTAGATCTGTCCAAAGTAGTAACGGATTGCGATTGACTTTTGCTTGTAGCACTTTCGTACTTAGTGAAACCTGCATATATGTACGCGATTATTTTATAGACGATCTTCAGCAGAAGGAATTGCTCACTTCTTTCGTTATCAATAGTAGTACTGAAGCGGTTCGAAATGTTCTCATCTTTGAACATGTCGTACTTCTTCAGTGATCCTTTCAAGAACCCTTGCGGTTTCTTCTTCGGATTCTCCACCATCGGCGTCTGGCTGAACGTAACCCTTCTCTTCTCCGCTCTCTTGTTCTCGTCGTACACGCTCGGTGTTTGACTGGATAGATTCTCATTGGCATTCTTGATCTTGGCCATCCTATCAATTGGTGTTTCATTGATCTGGATAGCCCTCATAGAGTCTCTAGGAGTGCTGGTAATGGCCACCAAAAGAAAACCGGAGAATTCCACTGGGGGTGAATCGACGCCATCATAGCATTCCATGAGGATCTTAGGTACAAGAGGAGTCCTAGCTACTAGGTCTAATCTGCTTTTACCAATGGGACATTTGCTGTGCTGATTAAAATCATCTGCGTCGAAAATTCTTTTGCAATAAACGCAATGCAATGGCCAGTGGGCTTCTTTAATATGCACCATTAAGGCCTGAGAGGGCTTCTTCAACACCATTTTCCCATAAACACATATAGAGCATTCAGGGAAGATGTTATGTACCGCCCTTTCATGTTTTGCGCGACATTTTGGGCAGCAAAAGCATTTTCTGCACAATCTACAGTTATTCTAGAATGGAAATATCCATCAATTCTACTTCAACATTGTTATGAATGACTTACCTCCACATAGCGGTTCATCATACTCATCGAAGACATCACCTTTGGGCGACTGACAATAATCAATTGGAGGTGCTTTTTGCTCTGCTATTCTTTTTTCTAGGTGCACGAGGAGTTTGAATTTAGCGCCAGACTTTAAATATTGATTTGTCTGTGTGGGACGAGTTGCCTGGTTTTGTATTGTTTAGTGCGGCAACGTTGGTATTTACATATGTTTGTGTATTGCATTTAATGGGCGCACAACAGTTGTTTTAGCAAGTTGTTCTTAAGCTATTTATTACACAAGTGCATCGACTGGTCTAGATTCGGTATTTCGAGATGAGCGGAGCTGTCTACAGTGGCGGTAATACAACTGACAATCACTATTAGCTGAACTATATAAGTTTGAATTTTTGAAAAATCTAGATGATATTGGGGCTGTGGTTTTGGATGTAGGTAGTAATACAATGAGAGTTGGGTATGCTGGAGAAGAGTATCCTAGACATGACATACCCTCTTCTATTGCTATCTATGAGGAGAATTATCTCAAGAAGTATAACATTGGAACTGTTGCTCTACACTCCAAGCATCCTGGAGCTGAGATCACAACATTTTTGAAAGATGGTATGGTGGAGAATTGGGATCATTTTGAGAATATGCTGGAGTATATTTTTACCAAGAGGCTTCATACTGCTTTTGAGAATCATCCAGTACTTCTAACTGAGCCAGCTGTAAATATGTTTACTCCTATTCTTGTTAACTATTGCATAACAATGCATTTGACATTTGCAGTGGGTGGTTCAACATAAGAGGGAGCAAATGGTTGAACTAATGTTTGAGAAATTTAATTCTCCTGCTGTTCATTTGGCTAAGGGGGCAATGCTTGTTGGGATGTCCAACTCCAGACCAACTACTTTGATTGTTGATTCTGGAGCTACCCATACCACTGCTGTTCCTATACATGAAGGGTATATAATAAATATGTTTCTATGTTCTTGCTTTACTGATAAGTTTTTCAGATTTGTTGTATCTCAGGCCATTGTAAAGTCCCCAGCTGGATCTGACTATATTCTGGAGCAAGCTAGAATGATGCTCCAAGATAGAAAGGTGGACCTTGTGCCATACTATCGCGTCGCCAGCAAGGAGGTGGTGAAGCAAGAGGAAGCTCCAATCTGGCGCGAAAAGCACTTCAAGGGCGTGACTGCCTCTTGGCACAACTACATGGTAAAAGAGGTAATGCAAGACTTCCATGCTTCTGTTCTTCAGCTATCCGAGTCCACTTACGACGAAGATGTGGTGCGTACCTCGCCTACCGTACATTATGAATTTCCGAACGGTTATAATCGAGACTTTGGAATTGAGCGATTCAAAGTTGTCGAACCGCTCTTCAATTTAACTGCTAGAGTGGGTAATGGTATTCAACCCTCTTTGGACGTTAGCTCTCTTGTAACTACTAGTGTCGGCATGTGCGAGATGGATATTCGTGCAGTAATTACGATTGATGTCATGACAGTAAAATTCGATATTGACCTAATATTATTTCAGACTATGTATTCTAATGTTATCATTACTGGCGGAAATTCCAACATCCACGGCTTCACTGAGCGTCTAACAAGAGACTTACAATTAAAAGTCCCTCCTGTGAGTCGCCTTGCGTCTTTTCCCCCTCTCCTTCCAAATCTAATACACAATTGTATATTTTATTCGTATATTATTTTTCTTTTCTTTCTGTAGATATCCACAGTCCTTTGATGTCTATTAATTAGTTACGCAACTGATAAATTCGATTCTGTTTCAGAGCATGCGGTTGAAAATAATACCGCAGAATGGGAGTATTGACCGCAGGTTCGCCCCGTGGCTCGGCGGCGCCATACTCGGCTCCCTTGCCACCTTTCAGTCGTACTGGATCTCCAAACAGGAGTACGAGGAAGTTGGAAAAGTTATTGTTCATTCTCGATGTTAAATGTCTATAATCATTTTACTTCCCTTTACTACATGATCAGTATTTTTAGATTTAGGTGTGAACTGAGTTCCTTGAAAGAAAAGCCAAAAGATGAAAACTATTTAACGGTTTCTGAAACCATTTTAAATTAAAACTCCTTAGTATGTAAGGTTTCAAAGGCTAATGCATGAGAGAGAATTAGCATTTATTTTAATATTTAAATCTATGTATAAACAAACAAAAAATTATAAAGAAAACAATATATTACCAGTATTAAAATGATTTTTAATAAGTTTTTGAATTGACGTTTACTGTACTATTGTATATGTGTATAATAAAATATATTATATGTAAATAGGACTTATCATCTTTGGGGCTTTGGTAGATCGCATATTGCGTTATGGGCAAACATTGAAAAGATGCCAGCGAAGGTTATACCAATGGCATCCGCAAAACTAGTAACACCCATTGAGAATTGTTTATCTTCTTCAGGTACCTGCAATTAAGAGTAGTATTATGGATTGTAATACATGTTGTTATGAATCTTACATCGGTTGAAATCTTGTAGAAAGTGTTTACATAGGCCGCACCTCCGAGGAGACCTTCCCACAGTGTTAAGACCAAGACTATCCAGAAGGTTGGTACATAATAGAATACAGCTTCTGTCGTGAAAATAGCCACGTTAATAAGCTAAAATCGAGAAAGTTATAATTGAACATCAACCAACTCCGTTTTAGTATAATCTTACTTGAAGTACTGACATAAGCCAGATCTTCTTAATATGAATTAAATTGACTGAAGATCTAGATATGAATACACCGATTTGATAATCGACTTGCAGCCACCTGTACTGCTCCTTAGAGTCGATGAAGAAATTGTCGAAATTGATCAACTCGAACTGAAATAAATTTATTATAAACTATGTGAACCAGCTGAAACAATCAACGAGCTCATACCATTCCTTGATTGATGAAATATTCAAATAAATACACCAAACCTAATGGAATCATAAATTTCAAGAGACCAGGCACCTGCTTGATCTTCTTCATAAACGCAGACTTTGGATTCTTAATCTCCTCCTCGTTGACGTTATGCTGTGTGGACAGCTCGTTTCTCTCCTCCGGACTCTTGAGGATTCCCCAAAACCTGTACATGGATACGACCGATGTTTACATAACATTTAAACGGTGAATAATTCACTTACGAAATCCCCATTGTCACCGGTACAATTAGCATGATTAGCAAGGCGTTTCTGAGTCCTAATTTATTCAGAGCCGCGTAAGACAGGGCGCCGAAAACGCCAGCGCCGCCTGTACCGGAGGACCATGTCGACACCACGTCCCTGAATTATGTAACAGATTACAAGAGCTCGGCTATAGAATATGGATGCGACTCACTTGTCATAGAAAGAGCTGTACTGTAGGTATGTCACCTCACCCAATCCGGAGCTGAAGGACGTGACGATAACACCTAGGATAGACATCCATTGGCCCGTGCTGAAGGCCACCACCAGGAATCCTGCCGATGCCAATACAATACAAATACCTACACGGACGCTACAAGAGAATTGTATTACTCAATTAAGTGTTTACACATCAGTTTGCCATTCAAATTGACAGATATTACAAGATTTATTCGCAATTGCCATTACTGCATATCGATTCATCTGTAATAGCAAATTTGTGCAAATACCCCAAATTTGCTATTACAGATTAATCGATGAGCTAGCTTTAATTGAATTATCAGTTCTAACTAGTGGAGAGCGGCGACGTTATCCAGTAAAATTACTATGTAAAACATATCTTCTATATTAGCAAAACAACATTTATTTATTTATAACAAATTTTCATACTTTCGTCATCGGGTTTCCATTTAAACAGAGGTTGATTATCTATCAGATATATATTTTTAAAACTTCTTTATTGAAAACAAATAGAAGTAGCCTAAGGAGTTACATCACCTTAGCTTATGTTGCAAGGTTATATCATTATTCCTATACGACGCTCTTCATTTACATATATTTTTATTCTATTGTATTCGCAGAATTAAATTAAAGATTTTCATTATTAAAAAAAATGTTATTTTATGTATTAATTTTGCAAAGATTTTAATATAATATTAATTTAATTACAAGTTAATTTTTTATTTGATTCCAATAAAAAAATCGTCAAATTTAGGTTTTATAATGAATCCAGACTAATATAAGTGTTTATTTATATTAGATAAGAAATTTTGCAAATGCGATGATCTTGATAATGTTGATAAATGTTTAATATATTTAGAACTATTGATTTTCAATCCCTTCCTTACAAACATTATTTAATGTAATTAAATATATATGTAATCAAATTATTGATTACTTTAGAATAAACACATTATATATAAATGTAATTTCTCATCTATGTTCTATAAATATTGTACATGGATTTCATCGAAATTTGTGAATATAGAATTTACATGCATAATTTTATTATATCTATTTGTGGTGTAAGTTAGTACTGTTTTCTATAATTACCGCATAAAATTATGACAAAAAACAAACATAAGTTAAGTTTATTGCAATGTAAATGTACATAAAAATGTAATAAAACATGTGCGGTAAAAATAAAAAATATTTGTTACTAAGTAGTAACTTAACTAACACTAAAATTATAAATACAAATTGTAGTTATCGAAGATTCGCATTCCAGAGTTAGTTGATTATATGTTAGTTGATAAATCGATACAAGATTTAATAATAGCTTTGTTCTATTAATTGGTGGTAATGAACTACGATTTAGGACAAAATTATGAAATACTTACTGGACAAAGAATGGAAGAAACGGTGCTATCAATTTAATAATTAGACTAGGTAAAATATCAGCTAATAATATGGCCCCAGTGGAGATGTAGTTACAATCCCTATGATCTGTACCATTCCCATCATTAACTGGAACCTAAATAATAACAGAAAATATAATAGTTGTCTTCCTTGTATTTTGATTTTCTGATTGTGGTGGCTGTGTTTAATTTTGCTATTTTTTATCTCTTATCAATGAAATGTTTATAATTTCATATTGCAAATCTCTGCGCTAATCCGGATTCAAGTTTATTCTGCAGATAAGAAACTTGTAAATAGCAAGATTATGCTAAACCGTTCATTTACATAGTAATAACTATTCGTTTATAAAAAATAAATTTAAATGTTCAATTTAATTAAAAATATGTAATACTCACTACATTTTAATATTAATTAGTTTAAAAAAAGATATTTTCTTTTAATGATAAAATGCTAAGACGCAAATTTATGAGACAATTAATGATGACAATAAGACAAAAAATGAGAAAGTGTATTTTTTTGCTATATTTCAATGTTTAAAGAAGAGAAGTCAACATTTGTAGTTGCATATAATAAATAATTTATTTGCAAAAATAAACAAAGGTATTAAATTACTGCATAACCTTGATTATATGGAATAATAATTTAATTTGTTTAAGAGTATAAACGTTTTAGTACATACTTTTATCCTTACTTCCAATACAATAAATTATATTGTATTTTCAATTATTATAGAGATTTTATTTGTTTATTAAAAAAAAGTAGAAATAGAAAGTAAAACTTAGTAATATATTCAGTATATAAAGTATTAATATCTAAAGTTGTTGATGGTTGCATTTAGACACCTAAAACTTACATCGTTATGAACATCAGCGTCTCCTCCCTGTGTGTGAAGGATATCATTCGCAGCACTCAGCATCACTACGTAACCATAGTTATTACATAGACCTAGCAGCCAGTAGGCTACTAGATTTCTCCAGATCTTCTTAGGTTTCACGATCTGAACGTCTTCCTCCTGGCGTTTGGCCTCATCGTTCGGCACCATCGTATAATCTAAACAAACACCGAAACTCCTATTATCAGCGAAGCCTCTGGAGCATCACGAGCGCCAGATATTGCGTCCAATTAAAATCTCAGATAGAGTTATTCAGAGAGAGAGTAGGAGACGGTGGTCGGGGAATTCCAACTACTTCAACTCAACTGTTTGACTTTATCAAAGAACGTGGTGTTTACCACAGCTGACCGTTATAATGAGTTAATGTTTAGTATGCAGAATAATTGCATATAATAATCAGAAGCGTAGTTTTTTGGTTGTCGTGGTGCACATACTTCTGTTTGTTTTAGTGTTGCGATAATAGTTGTTGAACCTGTGACCTGATTGATTTCAAATCGTCAGTCGGTGCATTTTGATAAGGTGGCTTCTATCGGACGAAGATTTCTTCACTAGTCATGATTGTTGATAAGAGTATCAATTCTATCATTTGAACAAACACTTCCATCAAACCACGACGTCGATGTTTTGAGCTACTACGATTGTTCATGCAACTTCCTTCTTTTACTTGTCTCTATGTTCGTGCGCGCGTTCGTTGAAAGTGAAAGTGGGATAGTGCTGTATTCCAATTCCGAAGCATAGTCTCACTTTAAAGAATTAAAAACGCTATCGTTTCCGAGTTTTATCTTTGGATAAAAGCATTATCCGGTACCACCCATTCATTTGATATAAATAGTTCTTTGAATTATAAAATACTACTTAATGAATTTGTATTTCTATCAATTTTGTTCATATAAGTTTATTAATAACAAAATTATAAATAATTTATTGAATCCTAACCAAAACTTTAAATTTTGAAAGTAGTTTTTTTTTCAAATTTAAAATTCTTATTTTTTTTTTAATATATACCACCTAAAATATAAATACTTATTTACAATTAATTAATTAATGAGAATATCTTAATTTTACTATATTTTTTAATTGCTATCAACAAAATGAGACCATCAGAAATTTTAGAGGAAATAAGAAGAGGGAATGAAATTATAAAATTTAAAAAAATACTGCTAGTTTACAGAAAAGTACTTCATAAATCAACAAAAACATAACAAGGATTGCCGTAATTAAAATGTAAAATTGTGTAAAAATAGACATAAAAAAAATTGGAATTGAAGTATATGATCATACAAAAAACGCTAATAGAAAATTAAAGTGTAAAATTTCTCACTCTGGATTTTATATTCAATAATCAGGATGACAGCAAATGCAACGGGAATTTTCAATTTTATTTATTATCGAAAATTTAATATATAATATTTAAAATCTGATTACAAATAATTAAATATTGAATAAAAAGTTAAATTTTGTTATACTTATTGACATGTCCTTCCGATAATAAATGAATTATTATTATACAACTCGGATTATAGTTAAATTACGAAATTGATTGAATAACAAATGAAATAACAATTAAAATCCAATCATAGCTAACTATAGTTAAGCAATACGCGGATCGGAAAGTATTTGGATATTAATTTTCTGTATTTTTTTTTAAGATTTTATAAAAAACTTATAATTTTATGATGAATTACTTCAAAAGACTGCAAAAAAAAATTACGAAGCTGTAAACATTCGCTTGCGCAATTAATTGATTCGCGTTTGTTACATAAGATTACAAATGTGCATCGTTTATTAATCTTAATTTTCCTATGTGTGTCAACGCTAATAAATGTAAGCAGTATAGATTGTAAACTGGATTGACCTTGATCCACATATTGCTGCTTATCCATTGCTTTTATGCTTGTCGCGGTAACATTTATTTTCAACAGTCTGTCCGATACAAAAATAGTTACAAAAGTTAAACAACATATAAAGGGGAACATGTTTGGACTAGATATTTTTTATATGCTTACAATATAAGATTAATGGAAAGTTAATATAAGTACACCTATTCCTCGTTTTACACGGCACTTTCATTACACGTTTTCGCTTTTACACGGTTAGAAAAAAAATACAAATTAAAAATAAATGTTTAAAATAACCAATCTCTCGTTCTACACTGTACTTTCTTTACACGTTTTCCTTTTACACGTTTTAAAAATAAAATAAATGGTTAAATTAACCTGTACTATGCGTTTTTTTTTAATACTTTTAGATTTACATGGTTCTACATTAAAACCGTGTAAATCGGGGATAGGTAAATAAAATAGTTAATATTATTTTTTGTATTATCACGAATCGTAGAATAATTTTCAGCATGAACTTGTTTGAACGATTCTAAATATACGTGTGTAATCTTGCATTAAAATTACGCAACAAATGCAAATATTTTATATTCATTTTTATCTAATATTTTATTATTATATAAACAGTTTTTGTGTAAAGAATCATTCATAGGTTAGATTTAACTGGAGGAAAGGTAGATGAAGCAATTTCCTGTGTATAACCTCCGATTACGGTTGAAGTGTTTTTCAATGGCATGCGGTTAGACCCAATTCATTAACAAAGGATTGTAGGTAATCCCTATCACCTATATAAAATTACGTTCGAAAGAGAAAAAAAAACATACCAGAATGATCTGTTTATGGATATACCTGTTCTTTTTTTGTTAGGGGGTTTGTTTGAAAGATTGATAGCTTCATTTTAAACGTTATCCTTCTGTTCTTTATAAGTTTATCCAGTCAAATAATTCATTTATCCAACAATACCTCGGATAGTGCGGCTTCGATCAGTGCGGCTTTATTAAATTTGCATATTTTAATTCAGTAAATATAAAAAATTAGTACACAAAATTAATTTTTATAAAGTTTTAAAGTCCTTGATTAATACGGTAGGATATTGACAAAACTGATTATCCGCACTATGCGAGGTATTAATGTATTCCCAATGTAATAGTTTATGCACTTTGACAGAATTGATGTTGTCATTTCAAAATATCAAAGTTATATAAAAGTTGGTGGGTTTAACATATATGTTGACGTAACATTATATAACTATTAATTAGACAAATTGTTTTCAATGTTGTTTTGATACGAGATGAGCAATCTTAGAAATAAAAATCCTATCCTGATAACTATTATTTGTAAATCACAACTTATCCTTCTGGTTTTCCCCGAGTATTTGGTTAAATTCTGTTTATTTTAATTAGTAATTACATCAACTCTCTGACGTTTAAAATGTTATGTAACAGCATTAATTCCAATTTATTGAGAATATTGTTTCAGTAGAGTTGAACCCATTATATTAGCAATAATTGCTGCCAAAGATAATTAAATGTAATTTATCAATTAAATGAGATTCGTCTTAAATGTGTTTAAGTATTAATTATGCGTATTTAATTAATATTGAATCACACGCATGAATATCCTTTATTTAACATTTTTTATATGAATTAAAAAAAAATGGAATATTTTAGATTCAAAAGCGTAATTATATAAAATAGTAACATTTTTCAAAATCGTATTAGCAATAATTACATAAATATTTTTTTTTTAATAGTTTTTCTTTTAATTGCTGTATTGTGAAGATACAAATGTGAAGTTTTAAAAAGAGAAAATTATCTTTTATAATCCATCAAATGGTTACGTAAAGAATTTTATTAAAATAATTAAAAGAAAATTTTAGAACAAAAAGCGCGAAAAAAACTTTACAAATGAATTAAAAAGAAAATATATTTTTCAAAATCCTATTAGCAATAATTACATAACTATTTTTTAAGTTTGATAATAGACTGATAATTATAATTAGGGTACTTTTTTTGAATGGACAATCTTGAGTAGTTTAGTAATATTTTTTTATTTATTATTAATTACTTGCGCGTTATATACTTTAATTCCTTTAAAACATTCCGTTTTTTTTTTCTTCAAAACTGATAAGTAAACTTCAACAATGAAATACCCAATGTCCTTGCTGTAATCGCAAAACTAGACACAATTTAAATGTTTACGCAAATGCAAAAAAATGCATTTGCGTTAACTTCTAATATTAAAAGTTTTTCCAATTCTATGTCTTAATTCCTTAAAGTAGACAATTCTATTTTTTTTTAAAGAAAATTTCTAATATCAAAAGTATTTCCAATTCTGTCCTATTTTTTGAACAATTCTCTAACGGCTTAAAGAGGAAATTTCTAAAAAATTGTATATAGAGGAAAAATTCTAAAGGCGACATACCTTGGGGGAAGGATAATAGATCGAGCGACGAAAGTGGGTTACCAAATTATACGGTTTTTATACCTTCGGATCGAAGGGCGTTTAACGCATTTTCCATTCCCTGCATCATTCTCTCTTTTTTTTGTTTTGTTTGTTATTTCCACCGATGCCGCACTTTCTCCCCCTTTTTTTTAACTCACAACATCCACTTTCGAAGGGAACAGAAAATGCACGACAATTTAGAATTTTTTTATACAAAAATCTTGTCTTTTGAGTAAGTTTTCACAATAAAAATGTCGTTTGTATATCACTGCCATTATTCATACTTTTAAGTTTTTTTGTTAGTTAATTTAAATTAATTATGTTTATTAATAAACACGTTTAATTTTTTAGATTATCATTATTAATTTTTCATATACAATTGAATTAATTAATTTAATTTGACAAATATTTAATAACTACATAAATACCTCACAAAGTGCGGTTTAGGGCAATCCGGATTCATTAATGTCCAGTTGGACAAAATAATACTTTTATACAGTTGAGTCTCTTGTGCGGTTTCTATTTTATTTAGTTCCTCTATTTATCCGGTTTCAAACAGATTATTGGCAGAATCGCACTAAGCGAGGTATTTCTGTATTGTAGAAATGCAAATATGTATTTTTAAAGGTTGAAAATTATTATTAATTCTATTAAAATTGTTTATGTTAAAAAAATTATTAAATTTATTAGAAAAAACAAACAATGATTGTTATAAATGGCAACATTGACAAAATATCAATTTATCATTAAAAACATTATTTCAAAATCATAAAATTTGATATAAAATAAATTTTATATTTAATTAATTAATTGATTCACATTGTTAAAACTTTTAATATCAATTCTTTGATGATTACAAAAAAAAACAACTATCCAATATATTTACATTTAAATCCAGGTTTTGTATGTTTAAAAAATTGCACAAACGTTTCGAAAATTTGTACAATTAATATAACAATTATCTCTCATTTTTGTTTGTCTTTTAAAAAATGTTAAAAAAATATTTTAATTCACAAAATTAAAAATAGATTTTAAAAAGTTAATACCCAAAATTATTTTATTTATACTCTTTGTGCACTTTTAAAGTCCTCTATTAGTCCGGTTACTTATTGATTTTACTGATCTGCTTAAGTTTGCTTAAAATAAAAATGTTGACAAAAAGATTTTCAAAACTAACTAAATTTTAATTAACAAAAATTTAAAAAAAAAATAAATGTTAATGCACAAAATTATTTTATCAGAAATTTGACTTCACAAATTTATTTTATTATAAATAAACTATCATTTTTTATACTTTTTGTGCACTTTTAAAGTCCTAAATTAGTCCGGTCACTCACTGCAATTTATTGATCTTTCTGATCTCCTTAAGTTTGTGTTTAAAAAAAATGTTGAAAAATTTTAGATTTTCAAATCTAACTAAATTTGAATTCACAAAATTATTTTATTATACATAAACTATATTTTTTTTATACTTTTTGTACACTTTTAAAGTCCTCGATTAGGACACTGTAATTTGTTGATTTTACTGATCTGCTTAAGTTTGTCTTAAAAAAAATGTTGACAAATTGTAGATTTTCAAAAATAAGTAAATTTTAATTAACAATAATTAAAAAGAATTTTTTTTAAATTTAATACACAAAATTATTTTTTATACATAAACTATTAGTACAATTTTATTGTAATTGTTGATAGTTACGATCTACTTGATACTTGTCTTAAATAACTTGAGAAATGCATGTAATAAATAGTAATAAGTCAAAAAACTGACATTTTTCTCAACCGATTTTCTTCAGTAATAATTAAAAAATGTTTTAAATTTTTATATTTTCATATATAAACAATATAAAGCAATAACTGTTTTAATGTTTATTATAGTTTATTGCGATGACGATCAAAATGTTATGACGCGCTTTTTTGTTTGTTAGACAATTTTTTTTTTGGAATACCGGGCGACGATTGATTGGCTCGGTCAGGTTTTGCATACAGACATAGGGGTGTGCACCACCGTTGTCCCCGCCCTCTCCGTATCGAACGTCGGCTTTTCCCGAGATGAATAATTAAAAATGATGCGCCGGATAGTTAAGTGCAGATGAATGAAATATTCGTCGTGATCGGGTGATCCGGGATGGGAGCTCCATGTCGGATCAATTAACTGTCACTTAGCCAGTTGACAGCGAACACGTTTTGCCTTTAACCCGATGCGGAGTCACCTATAAATATGCCAGAACCACATGCATATTCAATGCTTTCCAAATGAAAATTGAATACGAAAAACTAAAACTAACCAAACCGAAAACGCGAAAATTTAAAACCGCTGTCAGACTTACCCATTTTTATGTAATTTTATTATTTCTGTGATCGTTACGTTGGTTCTTGGCGAAGGCTCGTCCACCTGGTGAAAAGCACCGACTAAATGAGTATACAAATCTACGCTGGAACTGGATTTTTTTTAATATAGTAAATGTGCGTGTGCACGAGAACCCGTTTTATAACTACAACATATCAATGCGGCCAAGTTGATGCGAGTAAAGAAAGAAAGAAAAACACAAACTAAAATTGAATCTGAATAACGGTGAACTGCACGTATTGTTATTGTTATTATTATTATTGATTTACCTCCATTCTTTTCCAGTATCCCACTTTTGTTTTATCTCAAATTATTAGTAATCTCTAC